ATCTCAAGGTAAGCTTCAGGTCATCAGGCTATAAGGAATTCAGTTTCATTGACAGATTACGTGCAGAACCACCAGAACAAGTATCACAAGGAGACAATCGCCCAGCTTGTTGACTGGATTATTTCTCTTACGGACGTTGACGCTCTGTCAGCTAAAGACCGTGACTTGCTCTGGTACTTTTCCAATATCTACAAGAACAGCAACAAGGGCATCAAGGGCCGAGGTCGCGACCGCCGAGTCAGCGAGGTCCGCATGGGCAAGACAAAACTCAGCTCGCCCGGCATGGGCCTCCCCCGATCAAAGATGCTCGACTCCTCCTTCTCCCGCCTTGGACTCGGCTTCTGAGAGACGAAACACGAACAAACGCTAATGTGGCGACGACGATCACACGCTTCCTTACATCATCATTCCGCGGGGTTTTCTTACAGTCAGTTTTTGAATTTGGCTCTCACTTATTTATTCCCCTCTGCCGGACTATGCGCCGGCGAGGAACATGTACCACCAAAAGCGCGCGAACAGGGACGGCACCAATATTATCGAGCGATACCAGGCGTGCCTTAGGGCCGCGGCATCAGGAAAATACACCGATGCGGAGGCTGCGAGTCTTTTCTCTATTTTTCCGTCTCTTTTCCTTGGACTATACTTCTTCATTTTTACGAAGCATGTTTACCACGACTAAAAGCGAGCATGTGGGGGACTGGCCATGGCGAGGCGGTCAGCGGCGTTGTGTGCGGTTGCACTCTGGAGTTACTAGACCCGGAGATATTACGCTGCCGATTATGGGAGGATTGGGAAGATGATGCACCCCCTTGCCTTGTGCGGGACGGGGAGGGGTTTTTGCGTGTACAATATTCAAGAAAACATGGCGAATGACAAGAGCTTGGCGAACATGGGACGGTGAATACGGGATCACATAAAGAGGAGGGCACGGGACCGAGACCCAGACCAGGGCGGTCAAGCATTTGCGCAGTTCGTGGTATCCCTGCGACGACAACGAGATGAGATGGGGGGGGTGGTGGTTCAGTCATCAAGAAATAGGGCTCGCTCGGACTTTTTTCCTTGGTTACATTTTCTGATAGAAAACGAACAACTGTCGAATCAACTATTCCTGTCACTTTGCTGTATGCCATTGCCTAGTATTATGGAACATGGGGTGATTCAATGGCAGCACGTCTGAGGTTTCTGTCGACATAGTTATTGAGGTTTCGAGCCGTATCGGGACAGCTGCACTTGAGCCCCTGTCGTTTCGCCCGTGGAACCGGGCTGGTGCTCTCTGAAAGTTTTTGGTACCGCCCGTCACTTCGCACACACCCGCCTCGACACGACACTCTCGAGTGAGGCTTGAAACGGATGCTCCTAGCGGGGGGAGAGCTGTGGCGGCGCAGGATCTTCTCCCTCCCCCCCCCCCCTTTCCCACCGGGGAAGCTCCGCGAGAGGCCAAGCGTCGACGGCAAGGCAGGCAAGCCGATCCAGCGTCCCAGTGACCCATCCAGCGGGGTGGGTTCTCAGGGCTGGTTGGCACACAGACTTGCTTTTGCTCTGGTCCTCTCCACTGCCCATGCCGCTGTCATATCTCGCACGCGCGCGCGGATGGTGGTGACGGGGAACAGGGCGTTGGGACCAGTTGCCTTGCTCTCGATTGAGGGTGTGCCCGTGACAGAGCCACCGATTTCTGTCTGCTCATCCAGATTCCCATATCGGTCGGAGGACAGGAGCGCGGGGCGGCGGAGACTTCTCGGCTTGGGATGTCAATTGAAACGTAAAATGGTAGTCATCGGGAAACACAGCGACTGTTCAGCTGCCTACCCGCCCCTTCCCTTGCCCTGGTGACCATTTTACCTTTCTCTCCTAGTGGCCCCAAGGCAAGGTACCAGCAAGCAAGCAAGCAAGCATGAGGCGGGATCCAGTGCGGACCGAGGAGCGCGCCGGGACGTTGAGGTCGCCGATCCCCGCCCCTGATTGCTGGAACCAGGCCCTTTTTGGTTTCCAGGATAAGGTACTGTACTGTACGTAAGGGGGCTGATGTCGTAGCTTGATCTTAGGTGACAACGCGCCTTGAGGCTGGAGATGTGGCTAAATCCCGCAACGCTGGCATCGTACAAGCTTGCCTGATAACGTACCTACTAGGTACTGTAGCATGCTACCTAGTTAGCTTACTTGAGATGCGGTTCACAGAGTGGTGATCCGTCAATGGGGAAGGGCGATTGTCCACCCTTCCCCCCCCCCCACGCGATACCCAAGCACGCGGGTTATGGTGTTTGACGTGATGGTCAGTGAACGGACGGTAGGAAGAAAGGAAGGGGGGGGGGATCCTTTTGGCATCCTCCAATCTCAACAACGTCCGGGGCTTTCATTATCTCCCCTGCCATGTGCTACTGTGCCGTTGTGCCGGGAAATTCCAATTTTCGGGGGTCACGACATGAAGCGGGGGAGCAGACCTTTGGGACCAATAACCCTTTTCATCCATTCCAATCCTATGGCTTCCCTCCCCCCAAGGAGACCCTTTTCATTTTAGTGTACAGTGCTGAACTTAAAATTTTGGGGCCCCTTACCAAGAGCCATTAGAGCGCGTAGATCAACGAAGCCGGTTGGAAAAAGCCTTGATTGGTGACGAGGATCTTTCTGACCTGTCACTCACAATGTCATGGTTCAGCTGCCCTCTCCCCCCTCCCCCCTCCACCCTCCCTCCTGCCATCGCGGTGGCCGCCATAAACAAACCCCGAGCATCATCTCTACGCTCGAGGACCGAACCAAGGCATTGCTAATCCACTCACAACTGGCCTACCGGGTCTATGGAGAGGATGCCAGGTCAGCTGGTCAGGATTGCTGGGCGGGTTTATGACATGCCCCTCCACCACCACCCACTCAACCCTTGTCCGACTGTCCGAAAGAGTCGTCCCGACGCGAAAGCATCCGGGATGATGTCCTCCCCCCCCCCTTCACCCTGGGCCGACCCCCCCGGGCCTTGCATCGGCAGCGGCTTCGTTCCGGATCAATACCAAGGCGAGGCTGATTGATAGGTTCCCAGAAAACCGGTCGCGCCTGTGAGAGCGAGCGAGAGAAAGCATGACGAGGGGTCACCTTTTTCTGCTGCCCGGGGGTTTTCTCTTTCGTCAACGAGGTGGAGGGGGATTCGCAATTGAATCGTAACCCCCCCCTCCTTGGTTTCCAGTCCGTTCCCAAAACCCTGATCCTGGGCCAACACACCCCCTCGTTGCTTTGCTCCCTGCTGGGGTGACAGAGAAAGGGAGGTGTAATGTGAGAGGTGGGGACGCATTGAGTGCAGTAGGCTCGCCGAGGAGACCAGGTTGAGGGGGGGAGGAGGAGTTGAGTGGCAGTGAAGTGTTCAGTCAACGTGAATGATGTGATGCCTGCGTGTCCGTCTGCCCAACCTTGGCCGTTGGCGATACACCCCTCCATCTGGAGCCTGCCTTAGAAGTCCGAGGGCCGGGCATCACCGCCTCGAAGATACTGTCGTTGAGATGTAGGGAGAACAGAAGAAGGCAGCAGCAGCAGCAGCATGTGCATTCTGCAGGCTTTCACCGCCCCGTGTCTCGGACAGCCGTTCGACGCCCTTAGACGTGGTCGTGGTTGTGGCGCGTCTTCTGCAGCAGATGCAGTGATAAAGTCAACAAGTCGTCGTTGACAGCGGGTCAAGGCGGTCAAGATGCCAAACTGGTTTATGCAGGCTGGTCTCTGTTGAGGGGCGGGTTGGCAGATCAGATAGGTTTTTTGGGGGGGGAGGGGGGGTTCTGCAAGTGGTGATGGAGGACCACTGCGCTGACTGTTTCCGAACGTGCATGGCTACTCTGTTGTTGAAGATGGTGGTGTGTCGTCAGTCGGTCGGTCAAGCAAGTCGGTCATCATGCAGGTGATAGACGGACACATGGCCGCGAGGAAATTGACCCCTCCTGCTGGATGCGATCATGATGTCTCGAACCAACAATGACTGGCAGCAAGACGCCGTGGAGAAAAGTAGAGCATTCCAGTCCATGGTCCATCCACCTACCACGTCGTCCGATAGCGACACACCGACGATCCGTCACATTCTGTCCGGCTGGAGGGGTCTCAGAAGCTCGAGAAGCTTCTGAAGGGTTGTCTGGGGTCAAGGAACAAAGGTATCGCCTGCATATGCACGTTGAACTCGACACAGCCGTCTACGACACTTTTTCTTCGCCGCCCCGTCCCTCCCTCGCGGCGATACTTGGTAGGTAGGCCGAACTACCCATTGCAGGTCGCTGCAGCGCAATGTACCACTGCCGAATTGAAGAGATTTCCGCCTACGGAACGTGGTTGAGGCAGCCGATACGCGGCTGCCGGCCAACCACGACCAGACCTACGCTGCTGCTCACACCTGCACCGCCTTTTTCCCTTGATCTACCGTGTCAACCGGAGATGAGCTCTGACCGCTACTACACAGATGAACGAATCGAGAGCCTCCACCTGCGCAGACCCTCCGAGCCTACCGGCTTGTATCGTCTGCATCCCTTGCGCAGCGAGGATCGACAGGCAAAGTAGAGCGATATTCCTCGTTAGAGTCTGGGCCCCCGATGCCTGACGTCCGGCAGCTATCCTGACCTTACACGAGGAACCGTCAGGCGCAATCTCCCCCTCCCCCCCCAGTCCGACTGCCGTGAATACATTCTGAGGCTCTCATTGCTCTGTCCACTCACGACAAGTGAAAGCTGACAGCTCTTTGTCCCCCTCCTCCATCCCTACCTACCGTAGGATTGAAGGAGGGGGAGGGGGGCTCAGGGCAGTCAGCAAGGCTGGGCGTTGCGAATGGCTGAAATGGACGAGGGGCTAGAACGGTTCCGTGAGTTTCAACCTTTTCTGACACTCATGAACGAATCATCCTTCTCAGGACATGGAGCGACAATCTTGACACACGCCTCGACGATGCATCACGGTGCGTGATTGGCCGCGCGGAAGAGCCGAATGAAGGCAAGGGGGAGGGTGGGTGGTGGCCAAGGGAAAAGACTGATTCTCGTTCTGGATCTCTAGCCCCCGTGCAGCGTCGACACGAAGAGGATGTTGTCCCCGGCCTTCAGCTCATAGGCCTCCTCGCCCTCCAGCTCCCAGTCTGCGTCGTTGATGAGGACTAGGATGCCTGGTCGGCTGGGTGAGACGGATCAGCCATTGAGAAAAGATTTATGATGAGGATATCCATCGATAAGGTGGAGAAGAAGGGGGGGGTGGTAGGCAGTCAGTTGACAGCCCAACTACTGGACACAGGCGAAGGTTGTTTGTGATGAAGGCTCGACGGGATCCCAGGGAGTGTCACGACTGACTGGCTGTGACAGACAGCCTGAGATGTAAGGGGGGGGCGAGTGGCTGGACATACATGTGATCATCGAGGACGAAAAGCTCCTTGCGACTGTCTTTCATGACGTTCTTGCAGAGGTGGTCGATGAGATGAGCAATGGTCGCAGGCTGGCCATCCTCGCTGCGCGAAGGGATCGAGACAGCATGCTTTCGCTGGTCCTCGAACAGCATCTCGAGCCCGCCTCTGCACGAAAGGTCAGTCAGCGGGGAAATAAAACAGCCAAAACAAAAACAAAAGACGTGCGACGAGGCAAGGGAGCGAGTGAAGTCGAAGAAGGCTGGTTCTGCCTCTTGGTACCTCCAAAAGACACCCCCTTCACCCCTTCAAAAAGTCTTGAAGATGGGGGGTTCAATGCGGATAGTTGACTCACGAGAACTCGACGGTGAGAGATGTCTCTTCCATGCTTGTGTCTTGAACAGCAGAGATACCTTGCTGCAGATGTGCTGTGTAAGGGTATCGGAGGCCCCGACGTTGATCTTGGATCTGATGGAGGCTGTGTGTGGTGGTGAAATGGAACGGAGCCGCAAGTTTGACAGCGGATGCGGGCGCCCGTTGCAGAACCCCCCCTCCCCCCTTAGGGCGGTGCGTCAGTGGAGTGTTTTGACGTTTCTTGTAGCTAAAGTATACCGTACACTCACACACTGACCGAGCAGCCCGCCGTATTCTTGCTCTGCACAGAAAATTCGACGTCAACTCTTCCAGTCACTGCCATGAACCAATCAGAAGACGGTAATTGATGAGTCCTTGGATTCATCCATCAACCATCTACCACGTCGGTATCCCTCGTCCCATCATGCCCGACCTTCAAGCAACGGCCGAGTATCTCTCTACCGGTGCTAATAGGCACACTGCCATCGCCGACTGGAGCCAGTCTGGTGTGCTTGCCTTTGGTGCCAACTCCAACATCTGTCTCTGGACACCATCTGTAAGTGCCCTGACCTGATCTGGTATCAGGCCCAGTGACTGACCCAAAGAAAACCCTCTAGGCAAGCAGTCATGTTGGTATTGAAGGCATTCTGAGTGGTCACAAGGATGCGGTCAAGGCGGTCAAATTTCTGCCGCCAACAGAAGGCGGCAACGAGGTCATCATCAGCGGCTCAGACGACAAGACGCTGAAGCTGTGGGCGCTCAACGCGGACCGCGCTACAGGGCAGTGCATTCAAACTCTGACGGATCACACGGCGCCCATCAACACTATTGCCATCCTCAAGTCAAGAAATCCTTCGACGCCGACCCTCATTGCAACGGGTGCTGCCGATGCAACGTTCCGAGTGTGGAAGTATGAGGCAGGCCGTCTCCTCCTTCTGAGCACCATCAAACCGACACCCAAATTCTTCCCCCTCACTCTCGCCCTCAGCACCCTCGATCATGAGGACGATGTCGTTGTTCTCGCTGTGGCAGGCACCAAGGACATTATCCAGATCTATGTTGCCGCCAACACAGCCGCCACTCTAGACTTCCAGCTGCAGGCGACCCTGACAGGTCACGAAGGCTGGATTCGATCGCTCGACTTCACATGGGAGAGCAGTGCCGCTGAAAGTGACCTTCTTCTAGCCTCCGCAAGCCAAGACAAATACGTCCGTCTCTGGCGCCTCCACCAGGGCAGCGAACTCCCCGCCATGACGAGCAACGCCGACCCCGCAACGAGTGCTTTTTTGCCGGGCAAGTCACCTGCCAACAAGGCCCACCGACTGCAGTCCTGCGACAAGGTCTTTTCCATCACGTTCGAGGCGCTCCTTTTGGGCCACGAAGATTGGATCTACAGCGCAAAGTGGTTCCGTTCTGAGACGGAACAAGGTGGCGGCGGCGGCGGCGGCGGCACCAACAGGCCCCTGCAGCTCCTGTCCACGTCAGCCGACAACTCTCTCGCCATCTGGGAAGCGGACCCCGCATCGGGCATCTGGGTCAGCATGGTACGACTGGGTGACATCAGTCGCGAAAAGGGCGCCACGACAGCGACGGGCAGCATCGGCGGGTTCTGGACGGGCCTGTGGGCGCCTGACGGCCAGTCGGTGGTGTGTCTCGGCCGCACGGGTAGCTGGAGGCGCTGGGTGTGGGATGGTGCGAGGGACGAGTGGAAGCCCCGCGCTCTCGATCAGCGGACACACAAAGGCCGTGACGGGAATTGCGTGGGCCAAGGGCGGCGAGTCCCTGGTGTCGACGAGCAGCGACCAGACGACGAGGCTGCACGGGCGCTGGAAGGAGGCGCACGGCGAGACGTGGCATGAGATATCGAGGCCCCAGATCCACGGGTACGACCTCAACTGCATCGATACGCTGGGAGCGACGCAGTTTGTCTCGGGCGCTGATGAGAAGCTCATGCGCGTCTTTGG